CCAAAGGCAGATGCGTAACAACTGAGCCACCCAGGCGCCCCAGGATGTAGCATCTCTTGACATGCTGCACCTTCTTCTCAGAATTGGCTTTAGCATGGTATTTGTCTTAACCTGATATCCCTTAGGGAAGACTGAGCCCAGGATGCTGGGTCATAGGCATTGCTAAGGCTGCCCAGAGTTCAGGGTTAGGGAATGCATGTATTATTCTGTTCTGTCTGGTTCCTCGGGGCCGGTTCCATCTTGGAGGAATTTTGCTTTTTTCAAGGTTTGAGACATTCACTTCTGGGCCAAGACCTTGGCTAAAGATATTTCAGCTGCAAGCACAGCCCACATGCATGAAAGGGCTGGATTACTTTGTGGGTGACTGCCATTGCTGAGTACTGGTCCTCCTGCTGACAGAGCTGACAAATGGAATTAGAAGCAAAGGAGCCAGCCGATAATAGGGTCTGTGGGACATAGGCAGAGGGACCTTCAGGAGCTGAGTGTCTGGAGGAAAGGAGACTGAGCGTGGAGCCTAGGCCAGATCTTTGCCCTAGCTGTCCCTTCCCCCCCCAAACTTGAGGACACAGCCCTCCCTGTGTTCACCATCATTACTCTCCCCTCAGAAATTCTTGGTAGGCAGAAGTGTTTGCTACCAAGAGAAGTATGTCCTGGCACAAGACTGAATTGGTGAGAACAGCCTAGAGGTACTTTGTGCCCCTCAGGAGGCCATCTTCAATCCCTCTGACCAGTCCTGACTCTAGCTTATTCTCTTCACCCCTACCTTCTGTTAGAATTAAGCCTCACAATGGGACTCCTGAGTGGCTCAGTCGGTTGAGTGTCCGCCTTCAGCTCAGGTCATGATCCCAGGGTCTTGGGATCGAGTCCTGCATTGGGCTCCCTGCTCAGCGGCAAGCCTGCTTCTCCTTCTGCCTGCCACTCCCCCTGCTCGTGCTCTCTCTCTCTCTCTCCCTCTGGCAAATAAATAAATAAAATCTTTAAAAAAAAAAAAAAAAAGAATTAAGCCTCACTCATTCCTCCCAAGTTCCTTACTGAGCTGGGAACTCTCCATGACGTCATAGACTTCGCTCCCTAGTCAGATCCAGTTACAAAATAGCTAGCACCCAGATTACCACAGTGAACAGTCTTTCCCTCTCCTGGTCTCTCCTTTCTGCCCAGCTCACTTCTATATTGATGTAGTGCCTTTCCCCCTAAGTGTCCTTGCCTTTAATTCATGGTCTTAACAACTGAAGTCACATCAGAACTTCCTTTTGGAACCACAGAGATCCAAGGTCCCTGGAGTCAGTGGAGGTCTGAATCCACCCCCCATAGAAAGTTAGAGAAAGGGGAGAGACCCCTCATCAGAACAAAAGTTGCAGTCAGCTCTAGCTTAGTCAAGAAAGTGTCCCCTACATCCCAAGGCTGGAAGGCCCAAAAGTTCGATCCAGGCAATGGATGGGAAGACTGAGTTGGCATGGAGAGATGAAAACAAGTGGCAGATGGTGCTGAGGAACATCCCGGGACTGAAGAAATGTGGTTCCCAGAAAGGGAAAAAGGAGACATTGGCAAAGTCTTACTCAGCAACTGTGACAACCTGGCCAAAGAAAGCTGCAAGATATGGCTGAGAACACATTTATGGTATCAGGATGCTGCTGAGCTCAGACACTCACTGTTCTGTCACTTCTTCTCGTGCTCTTTTACCATAGCCAGAGTAAACAGCCTTGGTGGCCAGGAGGGATGGGTCAGGAAAAGCCAGGAATAAAAGAGATTAGAAAATGGTCCCAGAGGGCGCCTGGGTGGCTCAGTTGGTTAAACCTCTGCCTTTGGCTCAGGTCATGATGCCAGGGTCCTGGGATCGAGCCCCGCATCGGGCTCCCTGCTCAGAGGGAAGCCTGCTTCGCCCTCTCCCTCTGCTGTTCCCCCTGCTTGTGTGCTTGCTCGCTCTCTCTGTCAAATAAATAAATAAAATCTTTTTTAAAAAAATGGTCCCAGAAACTTCAGGAATTGCTGAGGCCAGACTTTTTTCTGGGTGATAAGTAGTGAGCATAGTCTGTGGAGAGACTGAATCCAACCCCCAAGGGCAGCAGGAGGGGCGTGGGGCCCGAGTGACATAGGCTTTGAATGGCCTAAGTCCTGCCTGGCCCTTGACCTCCCCAGGTGCTCGAGGTAGTACGAGCCAACTATGACACGCTCACACTGAAGCTGCAGGATGGCCTGGACCAGCATGAGCGCTACTCGGAGCAGCACAAGGAAGCTGCCTTCTTCAAAGAGCTGGTGAGTCTGCCCTGCCTCCATCTCTGCCTATGTCTCTTGAGGGCCCTTTCCCAGCCAGTGGGTTATACTGTGCAGCTGGGCATCTAGGGAACAACCACAGTTTGCCAAAGGCTGATGAAGTAAGACTTGAGGGGTCTGCTGAGATTGGGTGTGGAACTTCTCTTCCAAAGCAGCCCAGGACCAGGCAGTGAGAGAAGATACTCCCCAGGGTACAGGTGCCAGGCGGGCAAGGGTGAGGGTTAGGGTTCTCTGAGGCAGCATTGCCCGTCCATCTCTCTTCTGCAGCCATGGAGACAGCCCTTGAACAGCTCCAGCTGGGCCTGGGGTTTGATGTGTGTTCGCAATGGCAGCTCTGGCTCATTACTCCTTATCCTGTCCTCCAAGCAGCTAATGAGAATCATTGATTCTTCTCCTCCTTATGCAACACTTCTTCCTAAATTCCTAACCGGCTTCTGGTCTGAGTGCCCTCCCAGTCTAGTTCTCCAGTCTTCACTCCCCATCCCCACCCCCCTTTCCAATCACTCAGCTGCCTGCAGCCCCCACCCGTGGCCACCTGGAGCCAGTGAGCATTTGCTCTGCCTCCTCCTCCACCCCCCAGTCAGCACTGCCACAGAACCCGGCTCTCCCTGTTGATGGTCTCTGTCGTGCCCTGTGTTCAGAGCTGCTCTCGGGAAAAGCTAGACCTGCCTGTCTCAGTCCTGCCACTCCACCCGCCTGGTTGTAAATGAACATTGTGGCTGGGGGCTGAGACCAGGACACGCCACACCTCCTTCCCATAGCTCAGCCCTCCCGCTGCTGGGGTAGAACGCGCCTCCTTCCCCTGCCGTGTTCGTGATGAAGGTGCGGGGTTGTAGATTATCTGTCTTGTACTAAACACAGTCCAGCTCTGACCCTGACGTGAGATGCCTGAGATTTTGGACTTGCCCAGGGTGAGGAAGATCTGCTCTGCAAGTGAGTGAGTTGGGAACAGGGGGAAGCCATTAATATAAAGAGAGCAGATTCGAGCATCTTTATGGGGTGCATGGCAAGTCTTTAAGTTGATGTGGGGGTTTTACTAGGGGTGCAGATTTCACAAAGAGAGTAGGACATTGGAGATGAAAAGACTGTGGAGGAGAGAGTTAGGGGAGCTCTGTCTCAGGCCCTTTGGTACTAGGCACGCCTGACTCAGTTCTTATAGCTATACCTCTGACACAAGGGAGCAAAGAGGGTCTGGTCTGACTCGGAGCTAATGGCCTTGAGCTGCCTGCTGGTTGCCATGCTGCCCTTTCCTCTGCCTCCTGCCTAATGACTTCATTACATTTCCCACAGCTAAGCAGAAATTGGAGGAAAGCTCCCTGGTCTTTGAGGCCCAGGGTAGATACGCATGCTTTTTCTCCTTTTTCCCCCACTTTGTCTCTCATACACCATTCACTTCTGTTTCCCGTGAACGATGCTCCTTCAAGAGTGCGATAGATTCCTCCTAGAACCCACTCAGAGTAGGAAGTCTGGCCCTTTGACTCCTTCTCCACAGGTCCTTTCCCCACTGATATGGGCAACCCTTCCTGCAAGGGTCTCAGTCTATGGGAAGAAAGCACGTGAGGGGAGCAGTGGGCACACACAGGGATATGCCCCAGTCTTTTCTCTAAAGCAGGGGGGCTTCTTTGTGGTATGGAAAGAGTGCTGGACTGGGAGTTAAACCTGGGTTCTGCTTCCAAGCCTGGGGCTCACAAGCTGTATGACCCGCTTCTGGTCATTGGCCTCCTTGGATCGTACTCCTGCCATCTATGCCAGACAGGGGCTGCATCTCTAGGTGTTCTTTCCAGCCCAGGAAAGTAGATAAATAGAGTGAGAAGATCAGAAATGCATTCTCTGGCATCATTTTCTCCTCCTCTGTCAGACCACTGACCAGACCAGTCCCCCTCTGCATGGCCAAGGCAAAGACAAAGGCCTGAGCTCACCCTCCTTCCCTGTCTGTGCTTACCTCTACTTCTTCAGGTCAGATGCTCTTCTCACATCCACTAAAGTTTCTGTCTCTCAGCCCCTCTTCTTTCCTTCCACTTATACGTAACTGTTTGCTGATTTACCTGCAGAAATGATAGCTGTTAAGGTTCATCTCCTAAGACAGAAACATGTAGCACTGCATCTTAGCTTTGTCCCTCAGGCACTGCCCTCTGTTGTGTGTAACCAACTCTCTCCTCTGTTTTCTCTCTGCCTATGCCCTCTCACCTTCCCCAACCTTTTCCCAGGTTCGATCCATTAGCACCAACGTCCGGAGAAACCTGGCCTTCCACACACTCAGCCAGGAAGTCCTGCTCAAGGAGTTCTCCACTATCTCCTGAGGCCACGCATATCTGAGCAGCTGCTGACTGCCCTTACCCATGAGGCTCCTGGGCTGCAGGGGGACTGAGGGGAGAGGGGCTGTCCCCAAGGTTGGAGAATAACACAGATACCGAGTTCTCTCGGTGAAGGCCGTGCTTCAGTGGAGCTTGGACAGCAGGGCCAGGAGGGGCAAACCAGGGATAATCTTATTTGGGGAGGGTTTGGGTGGGCACAGGGAGAAGCCTTCAAGAATATGGGGACTTCCAGTATGGGCTCCCTGGATACCCCCTCACATTTCCAATTGAGATTACAAATTGTGGCTGCTGACTAATTTTCAGGGGCTGTTGGGGGAAGTCTTAGAATGATGCCAACATCCTGAGAGTCAGTGGTTCTCCAAGACTTCTGAAAACAGACTCTCAAATGTAGATGGAGCCAGTTCTGCTTTCTTTGGGCCTGGGGCTGAGCTGGGCTTGAAATCTGTGTCCCCTGCCCCTGCAGGCACTCTGTCCAGTCGTTAGGACCCTTAGCTCAGCTTAAGGTAGGGTAGGAATGGAGGACCTTTTTTCTACTTTCTAAATCTGGGAGACTGGAGATTAGAATCTGCCCAATGCCCTGCTGTCCGGCCACCAATTTCTGGATTTGATTCTTGGCACCAGGAGTACCTGTTAGCTTCCCCTGCCTTCCAACCCATTGATTGGTCAGCACTATAGGGTCACAACGTTAGCTTCTAATTTTCAGTCTGGTTTAAACTGTCTTTAGGGTGTGTGTGTGAAATAAACATTGACAGGTTTTCTGGAGCCCTCAGGTGCCTACTTTGCTGGTTCCCTTTCCAGCAGCCTCCCCACCTTCCCAATCACCTTCTCCTCTGGGAGCCTCTCCTGCCTCTGCTGAGCTCCCCTCCACTGTTCCGCCCCCTCACCCGGCTGTTGTTTACAGCCAGCCTGCCTAAGAATTTCCTCTGGGCAGGAATCTGTTCCTGCTGTGGTCTGGTGCCTGGAAGGGAGAGAACCTGCTGGGGGCAGGGTGCCCTCCATCTGAAAGGGGCCAGGTGAGCATCATGGAGAGGCCATTCTGTCTGCCCATATTCAGGGTGGGGTCACAGGCGAGTCTTCTGGCCTTTGGGAAGTTGGCCCATGATTCCTCCTCTGGACAGCCTCCATTGGACTACTGTAGGCTTTCCCTACCCCTTGGCTGCTTTCAAAGTAGCTGCTCTGAGATTCCCCCCTTCTAAAGCACTTTCTAAAGCCCTTAGGCTGGCAGGGAACAAGCAGCACAAGAAGACTCTGGGAGTAAGTGCAGGAAACCAGCAGTGAGAGCAGGTCTGGGACCTCCCTGACTGCTATTCCTACTTAGCTTCAAATCGCTTTAGGATACTTGCCTTCCCTGGGAACCGGAGTTGTGGCTCCAACATGGAGCAGATATGCACGAGTTCCAGAGAACCCACCAGCACGCTGCCGTACATAGACGCAGATTTCTGAGAGATCAGGGGCTGAGTCATCTGATCGCTAGATGGCGTAGCTCAGCCTGGGGCATATAGTGTTCTCCACAGTTATAAACCCCGGAGGAGCTGGAGCTGGAAGCTGGTGGCAAGTTGAAGTTATTAAAAATTGATTTGTATGGTACGGTCTTTTTAGTGTCTTTTGTTTGTTTGCTTTTCTTCATCTCTGTTACTCTGACCTCATTTCTCAAAGACAGAGTTAAGGTAATCTCCCAGGTGCTGGTCCCGTCTGCCTAGGGGACCCCTGCCTACCCTCACTCTCCTCCTAAGTCTCCTGGCCCTAGTGGAAGCCAGTTAGGTTCAGAGAGGTATAGCCTCCCTTGCCTTTGCTGCTTATGGTCTCCTTTCCTATGAAATGAACAAGGACATGAAGCAGAGGCAAAGGACTCCTTGCCCTCCATTGTAAAAGTCCATCTCTTGGCCCATTTACATATATCTGTTCTAAGAACTCTGAACAGGAACCCCATCATCATCTAGAATTCACCCCCTAAAGGGGCTGCCCATGCTCTGTCCATGCCCCAATGTCTATGCCAGGTCTGTGGAGAACCCTCCAGAGCCAGGGGAGAGCCAGGAGCAGGGCATTGCTCCCAGAGAGAATCCTTTTAGCTGCTTGTCCCTGTCTCATGCCTGAACTCCTACCACAATTCCTGCTGAGTTAATTGAATCAAGTGCTTGGAAATTAAATCCAATTGAAGACATTAAATGTGCTGGGGTCACTTTGGCTGAAGCTTTCAGTCTCAGCAGGTCACTCCTCCAGAGGAGCAGTTGGGCAGGCAAGAGGATCACATGGGACATTGCCACCACATCATCCAGACCCACCAGACATTGTCCCCCCCCTCCCCCCCCCCGCCTTCCTTCTGGCGGGTTGGGGGCTCTTGTTCTAGTAGTCCAGTGAAGAGCCTGGGGAAGGTCAGACAAGTAGGCTCAGTCACTCAATAGCCATTCCTGGGAGAGCTGGAGGCAGCCCAGCTCAGTGATAGCCCTTGGCTTCAGAAAAGGAGCTAATCCAGGGGAAGGGGGCCTCATAACAAAAGCATTTCTTACCACTCTGTATCCTCACCTGGATCCCCCACACCATTCAGTGACTCCCCAAATCTTCTGGAAAACAGAAGGAATCTAGGACAGGGCAGGTCACAAGACAGAAGGGCAGGAAAGTTGAAAGGGAAAAAGGAACAAAAGAATAAAGTCTTGAAAAACACCTGGTTCACTCTTTTCCTTTTCTTCCTGGTGGGCCAAAGGGGGTCATTAGATCAGGGAAGAAGGTACCATCAGAGTGAATGTAGCCCAGAGACGGGTCTTGCAGTGGCTGAGAGTTGGAGTCTTTCTGAGAGAAGAGAAAACTGTAGTCCACTGCCCTGAGATGAGCCTGTTAGAGGCTGGGCTGATCTTTGCTCTGCATCCCTAACCCCCTCCTAGCAGGGTGGGCACTGGCGGGGAGCCACAGAGACCCGTACATGGGAGGAGAACAATAGAGAAGATAGGGGTTGACATGGAGACTGACCTGAACAGGACACACAGACTTACCCTGGCTGGTGCTGATGGTGGGAGAAGGAGTGCCTAAGAGTTGGGGTGGGGGGGGCACGGTTTCCTCACAGTGGGTCTTTTCTGGCCCTGCTCCCTCCTCCACCGCCAGGACCCATGGCTTCAGGTTTAGGGGGTAGTGTTGCTGGAGAACCAGTCTCCCTCCCCGCACTTCCCAGCTCACCCTTTCACCGGGTTCCTCCCCCGAGCTGCAAAGAGGAGGGGGCGGGGGGTAGGGGGAGCCAATCCCGGCAGCGCCAAAGGGGGGAGGCGGCGGTGACAGCCGCGGGGAGGGGGCGGGAGGAGAGAGGCGGCTTGGCTCTGGCTCCGTGCTTAGCTCCGCTCTGCCTCCGGCTCTGCGCTCACCTACTGCCCAAGCCTCCGGCTTCTGCCCCAGGACCCCCGGCGGGACCCCAGTCCCTCCCAGACTCAGCCCCAGCTCAGACAGCGTGCAACGCCGCCAGGGGGCGCCGTGTGAGCGCCCTATCTTGGCCACCCGGCGCCCCCTCCCACGGCCCAGGCGGGACGGGACGGGGGCGCCGGGGGCCATGCGGGGCCAAGGCCGAAAGGAGAGTTTGTCCGATTCCCGAGACCTGGACGGATCCTATGACCAGCTCACAGGTGAGTCAGGGGCTCAAGGGTCGCGGGAGGGAGTGTAGATTCCATCCCCGCAGACCCTTAAGCCTATCTGACCCTGGCCAGGCCCTTACTCACACTCTACCCTATTCCCAGGCACCCTCCAGGCTGTTCCGGGCGGCAGGACACCGGGGTTCAAAGCCTTGGGTCCCGTGGGGGGTGGGGGAGACAGGCGGGCAGGTGGGGAGAGGCAGCAGGTGTGGGCGTGTGTGACACAAAGCTAGGAGAGTGTCTGGAGTGGGAGGTGTTACGTGCGTGAGCGCCTGTCATTCTTTGTGTGTGTCTGTGTGTATATGTGTGTGCGCCTCCCTCAGCTGGTTGCCATGTGCCCTAGGCTTGGTGATAGGGTGAGTGTGATTTTGTTGGCTGTGCAATTGTATGATCTTGTCAGATGTTTTGAGGTTGTGTAGGACTCTGTTGTACTAATGAAGTTGTTTTGACCATGTGTCTCTGTTGTATGTGCAACTCTGTGCTTTGAGTGTGTGATTCTGTATGCAGTGGCATGTGACAATCAGAATGTGTCAGGGCTTCACTTTATGGGGGTATGTGTCTTTGTAAGACTTTAATGACTGTGGCCCTCCTGGGGCAAGCATTTGTTAAAGTAGATTGTATTGTTTTGTGATTGTGAGACTATGCAGATTATATTGGCGGTTCATGCTGATTGTGTACTTTCATGTGGCGATGTCTGCAGTGGGGTTCTGTGAGTGTCTGTGACTCGTCTTACCCTTGCTTCCTCTCTGGTTTCCTGGTGTAGAAGGGGGCCTTTACCGCACACCACTGCTTCCCTATGTTTTCCACAAATAGCCCAGGTGGACTCAAGGAGGGACTCTAGTGTCTGCCCAGCCTGGCTCCCAGGAACAGCACCTGGCCCTTATGGGGAGGCTTTGGTTAGTGTTTGGGTCATTGCCCCCTGCCCCCAAGAAAGTACTGAGATATCATTCTTTCAACTGAAGCTCCTTTAACCCTCAACAACCCTCTCAGAACTTCATCCAATCTGAAGGAAAACATTCCCTCTTGCTTCCCCTCCAGACCCAGAGATAGAAGCTCTTGGCCTGGAAGGTGCCGTGTGACCTTCCCAAACTACTTTGCTGCCCAGGCGTGCTCTGTCTCCCACAGTATGGAGTACATCTGCGCCCTCACATATTCCTGGGTTTGGTAGGCAGACCTACGTGTTTGTGTGGGTGACTGTGTCACCTTGTATACATTTCCATGTGTGTTTTCTGTCTCATTGTGCAGCCTGCCCAGGAACTCCAACAATGAATGGGAGGAGGGAAACTGTCTCCTGTCTCTGAAACAAGTTGGGCAGGTGGGGGGAGCCCATGATCCTTGTCTGTCCTGAGGGGAGTGAGGTTAAGTCTCCAGGATGGGGAAGAGAACTAGGATCTAATTGAGACACTTGAGAAAGGGTCTCCCCTACTCATTGACCCTGGGAAAGTCCTAGTTCCTATGCTGAGACTCCCAGAAGGGAGAGCCCTTTGGCTCAAGCAGGCCCCAGATGTGACCTAGATGTGGTTCAAACTGTGATGGAATCCAAAGGTCCAGCTCTGCCTTGACCTGTGTTCTCACCAACCCAGGATCCTTGGGAGTTTAAGGCCCCAAGGCGCTCATGAGCACCACATTAGTCAGTGTTTGCTTCCTGCTTTAATTGATTCTCCCCTTTAGTGGAACCATTCCCTCCCCACTTGGCTATTTGAAAGAGAGACTGGGTGAAGGTGGGGAAGTACTTGTATTGCAAGGTGCAGGAATGAGCTTTCTATTACTTTTGCTCTCTGGGTCTCACTTTTCTCATCTCTAAAATGGAGAATACTACGTCTTGCCTGTCTGCCTCCCAAGGGAAATAGGTCAAATGTTGACAAGTGTCAGGAATGGTGTTCATCATCAGCATCCCCACTGTAGATAGCTCCACACACGACTTGGAAAGTAGAAATAGCACTACCAGGAGCTCTCCTTTCGAAGGAGGGCTTATCTTACAGCAGGAGACAATTGTGGTTGGGACTCCCCCTGATAAGGCGATAAGGTGCTGGGTGCCTGGAGACGCCGGAGTTGAAGCCCGAAGGGGAGTCGTTGTCCGAGGTGCTGAAGAGCCTTCTGGACGGATGTACTGCCATGCCTTCCTAGTTCCCAAAGTTCCTTCCTTCCCTGTGCAGGCGGGATTCCTGGGATGGACATGGGGGTGGTCTTTGGCTTCCGTCATTCTGGTCCATTAGATTGACAGGGAGGGAGTCCTTAAGTCATCAAGGCATCCTGGGTACACCCGATCATTTTCCTCCCCCACTCCTCCAGACTCAAAGCTGGGGGAGATTTTTTTTTTTTTTTTGGTGGGGGGTGGGGAGAATCTGAGCCCCACCCCGCCCAGATCTACCCCCTCTGGTCTTCCAAGCCTGATAGGGCTACTTGGAAGTATGGCGTGGTGGGAAAAAGCAGCAATCAGTGGCAGTCCTGTCCAAGCCGGAAGCTGGGGGAAGATGAGGAGAGAGTTGGGATCTGGCTGGCCAAGGCCTGAACTCGGGTCCCTCTGCTCGTAAATATCGTTTCCTCAGTCTAGGGCGCCCCCATGTGGTCTTAGAGCAGCCATGCTTACGGAGCTGATTCCAAATGGGGATGTCGCCTCCAAATCAAGGGGCAAAATTTGCATGGAGTTTGGCGGTGACTCTCGCCTAAATCATAAATGTAGGATTTTTAGCCAAAAATACAGGATCCCGGTCGGAGGAGTGGAACTATGTCTCTCCTGTAGGCTGTCCCGGCAGTTTGAAGCCGTCAGTGGGTCCTGAAAGGGTTTACTTTGGGTACAGCCTGATAGGAGTCCTGGAAAGGGTCGGGGCTGGGACTGAGGGGAGGAGAGCTTTTCCTTCATGCATTTGGCTGGCAGTCAGCATATGATGGGAGAGTGTGAACCCACTGGAGCAAGAAAGAGGGACACAAAACCGAAAGTTATGAGAGAAAGGGATTTGGAGCAGCCTCTTTAGC